AAAGTGTATATCTTAAACAGTCTATATACATCTTGTACGCTTTCTTGACAACTTTAATCTACACTCCCTCAAGAATTTGAAAACCTGAACCTACTATCACCATCAACCCCTAGCCATCCTGTCTATTCTCATCGTGTGTAGTTTCTCAGAGAATTTCGCTAGTTTGGTCAATCGGACCAGAAGGACCCATATGTAACCTTTCTGAATGCTAAATGTGAGTTGTTAGTCCACTCACATAATAACTTCTGAGTACCAATGAACGGTCCGGTGATTTCACGTACACACAAAGAAGAGGAGGGACGATAAGAGAAAAAAGGGACGGGTCAAAAGACTGGTACTCCTTCTTTGACGCCAGCTTATTCCAGAAAACCGAATCCCTTTCAAAGGAAATGCCGCTATCTTTACTGTTTCCTCAAGGCTTCACCGTCCGGTACCTATTCTTGCAAGTTTATAAGACTACTATTTCTTCTCCTCGAGTTACGGAAGGGAACAATAGAGGAAATCCGGATCTTATCGGTGTGGGGGTAGGGAAGCATGTTTTGTAACTCTATCGTTACGGTAGGGACGTTAAGAAACGTCAAAGGTTGTAAATTCGATCCCTACGTGGCCTTTATAAGCGAGGCGCGTGCTTTTTAATTAGCCGGCCTTTTACGGAAATTTTCCGGGAAGCGGCCGAAAGGCCGGCTGTTCCCAAGATCGTGGCTTTTTTATAGGTGGCTTACCGTCTCTTGTCCCATGGCAACCATGCGACTTGCAACAAACAACACTACTGCATTTAGTTTTGCTCGCCGCTGTTCGTGCCGCGCGCTGGTAGCGAGCGCCCGGACGAGTGTCGGTGTACAGGACGGCGACCTCTATAATTTTTATTAGTCTCTTTCTCCGCGCCTAACGCTAAACATTTTTGCACAGTCTGACTGAAAGAACTCCCCCACATTTGACGATTCTGAAGTGGGTGAAGGCCTAATGAGGCGGTGAACTTTAGGTTTTGTGTGCGCTGTTTATATCGCCTCATCCTAGTTATAGTGTTCGTGACTGTCGCTCTCTGACAAGTCGCGACGGAGAGTACACGAACTACTCTTCTCCTTGTCTCGGTACCGACTATTTCGTCTCCTGATGACAAGTACATTTTTCTTGGAGCGGTGAAAAGGAATTATTACATTCTGTTCCGACCGAATAGTATTCGAATAGATGCAAGATGTACAGATGAGCTGGATCGGTGAAAGAGGGTTTGTTAAAAGTAACACTCAATATTTAAGTCGTAGGAGTCCAATGTAATCCCCCTTTACTTGTCGTCGTGTCACAATTTATATAATTTGAAAGCCATAGATTTACTATGTTACACCAATCGTAACGAGTACTCCTGTTTTGGTGGCAATAAACGTCTAAGAACTTTAACATTAATTAAAACATTTACGCCAACACTAAAACATAGGTTCAAATGGAGTGAAATACATGAGAAATATGTTACAAATGTGAAACGAATACTCCTGTCTGTCGGAATTAAGTTGTCTAAGAACTTTAAGTTAACATTTAAGTAAACATTTATCAATGTAAGGTACTCCTAAATAGGTAAAAGCGTGGTTAAAACTCGTACGTGAATATCCACGTTAAACACAAACAACTTCCGGACCGACAATCGTCAGAATTAATGTGATAAAAACAACATCCGGATGACCGGATCCTACAATTACGTCAAAATTTCGTTGAACCGAAACAAGACTTACGTGAGAAACAACAGGTCAATCTGGATCGTCTCTTTTCTTTTACGTGGAACCTGGAACCTTAATTACCATCGACATACCGTAAGTTTTTCACGGACTTATTTACAAAATACCTCGGGGTATTATCCTATTATAAACCTTCGGATTCAAAATAAGGCTATTAGTACAATAAAAAGGGTATTAGTCCATCGGACTTGTTGTAACCATGTGTTTTTTACATATGTAGTATATATTATTCATCATATGTATATTGTTATGATATAT